TTTTTTTTTTTTTTTTTTAGATTTACAGTTTGCTATATTTTGGGAAAATGTGTCCGATCAAACTGATACAACTAAACTAATTATTCATGACTTACTTAAGACGGAGCAACTAGTCAGTTGTTGAACGACTAGATGATTAGTAAGGTTGACTAGATGATTAGTAAGGAAGACTAATTTGACTGACTTCATTTTTTTTTACTTTAAGTTTTAATATTTTTTAATAAGTTTTGATATTTTAGCGGCAAAATGTGTCAAGTATAACCAAAACTTAATTATTCATGCCTTCCGTGAGACAGATTGACTAGTCAGTTACTATATCACTAGATGATCAGTCGACCAGAGCAACTCCATCCCTAGTGTGTATCGATTGTTACCTGGCAATCTTGATGTAATAGTGTGTGGGCTTAGGCATGAGGAATTCTCCCGGGATCTCAACTTCAGCAGTCTGGGCCGAGAAGTTGCTAAGGAAACGGCATTTCTCCTCAATCAGGAAGAACTTTGGCATTTGCTTCGTCTTGGCTTCCAGAATCTTGATCCACTTCTTCAGCTTTGAAATGAGATTGTGCAGCTTCATGGAGCCGGGAACGCTGAAGTCAAAATCTGCGAATGGAAAGAGTGACAGGGCAAGGTAAACCAGAGGAACAGATAGGTAGCTGAGAAAAAAAAACAACAACACTGCAAAAGAACAGGTGGAAAAGGCTCCGGATGTGTGAAAGAGGTAGACGTGGCGTAAAACTGACAGAGATAGTGTGAAAGAGACTGAGAGAGGAGACGTTATCTTTGGATCAGGGAAACAGAAGTGGTGCACTTCCTCCCAGGTCTCCCTTGCGACGTGAAGGTGCTGATAACATCAAGGTTCATAAGGAGGGAAAAAAGGATTAACTGCTCAATGCAACTTCTAAATGACATTGCGCATTAAGTTAGAGAGCAGACACAAAAGGTATGGTCGGAATGCAAGCCACGTTCCCAATTTTAGAGACAACCTCCGGGCCAGAACGTCTTTATCAAATAGGCTAAAAGCTGCCCCACTTTCATTCTTCTGTTGTGCTACATTAATAATACCACATGTCGCAGATACAGAAACGGCTTGGCATTTAATTTCATACATTTAAGAGGAAAACCACCCTTGAGAAAAAAATCTCTTCGTATAATTAAGGCTTTGGCAGAAGAGGCTTTAATTCAAAAGCATCTTGCAATGAGCTGCCACTCATGTCAAAGCCAGTGAGATGTGGCCGCCACACATAATGAAAGGCCATTTAAGGAACTCTCGCTGCTTGCATGACACTCACAATATCGTCAATGTCCCGTATGACATTTTGATTAGCAGTGAACTGCCATGAGCAACGCAGCTCCCACCCATTTCCACGCCCCGAATTAGACGATGTCTTCTAAAATCAGACACGCTCTGTAATCTCAGCCAATCCAACTCTCTGAAAGACTTTAAGACTGTTTAGGTGTTTAATGACCAGTGAGCATTAAAAAAAGAGATTTGACTTGAAAAGCACGGCTACGCACAGCGGTCGACTTGGTGTAATCAATTTAGAAAAAAATGAACAGAAAATCCCCTGTAGCGGCGGTGCCCCGAAGCGAGGGGTTTTTCATATAACGGTGCCTCCTGGGCAACAATGTTCTTCTTTGATAAATGTAACACCTTTGTGTGTTCGAATATGGATGGGTAGTACGGTGCGCTCAGTTTCAGCTGCCTCACTGACCCAGGATCAGCTCAACTGTAGAGGGATTTGAGCTCCCCGCTGCTGTGGAAAACAAAGTCTCTGCTCTCTGACCTGTGAATGAGATACACCAACGGCGGAAGTTTTCTGCACCTAATAATGCTTGGGCGATGGAGGTAGCCAAGCGCTAAAAATACCCCCCATCGGCCGTCTGCCCGCGCCGCTCACTGTGCAGCATTCTCCGGTGAATTGTCTACTTTAAATTCCATCACTGAAATGCCTGAGTGAACACAGTGTACAGCACAACAGGAGCCCTCGGCCCCGCAGACATGCTCCCGCTTTAGATCAATGCAGACAGCAACGCTTGAGAACAGCATAACCCTGCAACGCTAAAACACACGTTTCAGAAATATTAACACCACTAGTACTATCTCACAGTACTATTACTACTGTTATTTCCCAGTACTATATTCCACACAAACAAAAAATGTAGACAATTTAAGCAAATTTATCTGTAACTATTTTTTTTATAAAATACCTAAAAGAATATTTAAAAATATTAGAAATGGAATTATGACTTCAGTGTTTTGAATCAAAAATTGCAAAGACTCTTATATGCAGCTACGAAAAAAAAAGTTTGTGTTTGTTTTACTTATATTATAAAGTCTCCGCTTTCACAGTCGCATCACATTGCGCTGCAACAGCTGAATGCATACTTCCATTTGTACTGTTGCTGGAAGTAGCGCAAACGTGTGGAGCACATCGGAAATAGAATGAGACATCGGGTCAATGTTGGTGTCCCATGTTGGCTCCGATAGTCCTGTGGGCAGCACACTGACATGTAGCGCTGTTGCGCTGCGTGCATCCCGAGTTTGAATCCCATCTCGTGGATGGGACTACTTGCACAGTGTGATATATTACATGCAGTTGTGTACTTACGTTATCCCAAAAGTTCCCAAGGATTTGTAAATAAATAATGGCTCGTCCCTGGTCATTGTTGCCGATCAATGACGTAATATCCGCACTATCCTCAGTTTCCAGTAAAAACTATGGCAACACATGGACACAAATGCTGCTGTACAGTTAAACTAAATCCATTATGGCTGTCGCAAATAAAATGAAAATGAAATGTGTTGACCGCAGCATTAAACTTAGATCTGCTCCATGTTTCTCCATGATTTTTTTACGCGGTTTTACAGTGTTGCGCATTATAACCAATCACACACACGAGTCTGTTGAGCTTATGAATGCAATGGCCAATCAGAGTTTTTTGTTCACTGCACGCACTTTGCTGACTGAATTCAGCTCTCATGTTGAGCTTATGAATGCAATGGCCAATCAGAGGCGTTCAGATGAGTTTTTTGTTCACTGCACGCACTTTGCTGACTGAATTCAGCTCTCACACGAATTCTCTCATCATAAACAACAAAGTGCAGATGTATTTATGATATAAGAGATTCATTCATCAAACCGTGTATAGACAGCTTCACTGATTATAAGGAGAGTTTTTTGAGAGTGCTTAAACTCGTGCTAGACTGAAGTCAGTCATAATGTTCTTTGACAATGTAAATGTTCTTTGCTTGCTTACTCTGTATAATTTATTCACTGTTTGAGGTACACAGGTAATAAAAAATGATATCATTACCTCATCCATGAACATCCTCCTTCATAGCGTCATCAAGCTTCGCCTTTGTTACTGTTTTGAAAAACCTCTAGCGGCGAAAGCGTACATATTGTGCCTTTAAATGAATCTTAATGTGGCCAAATAACCTTTAGAGAGCATTAAAAAATGTATTTGGGCAGGTCACATTTGATAAACAATAACATTTGCTCATGGCTTGATTGTGATTGGATTAAAGGATTCTTGACAAATGGTGCTGGAGTATGTGTTTGTTTGGACATGTGCGTTGGAACGAGAGCTTGGGAGGAGAAACCCCTAAGGAAGGGGAAAGAAGGATACAGGGAACGAAGCGGGCTTTGCGCTTTGCTGGTTCCCCTCCAAAACTCATTCCCAGTAGCACACTATTTCAGACGGGCAGAGAAGGCTCAGGGCGCGATGGCCACGCCTCACTGCCCAGAGACAGCTGGCACCACAACATCTGTTTTACACCCTTACAACCTTAACAGTCCTCTAAGGCCATGAACACACACACAGGCCTCTGGATTGAGCTTCATATGAAGCAAACGAGAGCACTAGCTCCAGGATTCAAAGTTTACTGAGGTGTAGAGACTGTAGGTGGACAGGGAAGGGAAGTATAAACATATTCTGCTCTCCTGAGCAGAGGACAGCTGAGGGGGAGTTTGTTTTAACATACGCCTCGACTCACACATGCTCTGCTTTCTGGGAGCCAGGTCTACACCGGGGGTACTGGAAGGTTATTGTCGGGCAATGTGTACAAAACTGGCCTCAGGAAAGAGCCTTGCCAAGTTCTACCCGACTCAAAAAGATTTAAACAAACATCTAGGGGGTGAAGGACATTTGGGATTTAAAGGTAAAGTCACAGAAAAAAAAAATACAGCATGCGGTTCCCTTCTTTAAAAACAAAAAAACAAACAGATGACTATGATTTAAAGGTACATACATAAAAATGTGCCAAACAACTGGGAAACACTGGAAAAACGGTTTGGAATGCAGGAAGACAGGTGGAGCATTTGGGCACAAATATGTTTGCAATTTCACCTGGTACCAGAAGTAACGGAAATTACACACTTTCCCCTTTACCCAATTAAACTAATAATAATAATAAAAATAAAAAAATAAATACAAAACATTTTGCCTAATTTTTTTTAAACCAATCTACACATAATAGGCACGTGTAGTGTTTTTTGGTAAACATGTTTACCTAAAGCTGTGTAATTTCTTTACAGTCAACAGCACCTTGATATACGCACACATGGTTCTGCCCATAGTCATCTTCCCATTAAATCTAATCACATGGTTCACAGAGCCAATAATTCTCTGAGTCGGTCTGGTGGAGAGGCCTGTGGTTAACTCTGAGCAGAAGTGGTTATGCAGAACAGAGACGAGAGCGAGAGCATGTGTAATTGTGCACAGGGGATGTGATCCTTCAAGTGCGCTGCCTGCAAGTTAGACTTCTGTCGACACTTCTGAGAGAAGTCCATGTGTGACAGCTCATTCTCAGTTCACTTGAATTATTTTATCTGTGCTTTTGTGTTAAATAAAATTAAACTACATTTGAAGACAACAGGAAAGAGCATTCACAATTAACTAAACTTTTATAATCACAGGGGTTAAAGCAAAAAAAAATCCTGAACCTGAACTTTTTTCCGGGGGTTGGGGGTTGCGGGGGTGGACACATACACAGGGTTATTTGGCAAAAAAAAAAAAAAAAGGAACATTATTTGAAAATGATTTTCCTTGAAACTAACTAGTAATGGTATCTGCTATTGCCATTAGCCCTTGACAGGCTCAGACTACAGATTATGGTGGTATATTTGAAACAGCAATACCAAGAAAGTTTACTCACTACAATATGGTGCAAACACATGTAACATTTAGGATGCTTTTGATATTAAGTTTAGCTGGTTAGCTTTGTCCTTGACAGGGTACAAGGTGACCTACAATCTAAAACATGACATTTCTGAAATTAAAATAAAGTGCAGCACATGCAAAGAATGCAATGACTGTGGCAACTTTAACATTTTAAAGGATACTATGCCAAAGATATCGCTTTCCTTATTTAAACTGATTTGTTTTTCATTAATATATGATTGACCTGAAGAATGAAAGTGACCTCTTTCTTCAGTGACCTGAAGAAAATATCATACACTTGGAAAATTTAGCTTTATCACGCTCATAGACACTAGGGGTGTGACAATACACTTAGCTCGAGACAATGTTTTAATACTTTAAGAAATTTTCAAATGACAAAATATTTGTCTTTAAAATCACAAAAAGAAAAACAATGCAGTTGTATTTTGAAATGTTTTAACCAATCTAGGGCTTAACTAATGATTATTTTGCTAATCAAGTAATCTACTGATTATTTCTTTAATATGACTATATTTATATATAAAGTAACGATGAGGCAATAATAATTGGCCTCAAATAAAGTATCAAAACCAAGTACATGGTTTTATTGAACAACACTGTTAAATACATAATGTAATATGCCTGTATTATAACAAATACCTGCAGAGGGCGCTAACGGCCTGGTGATGTTTCATGTGATTCAACGATGTTTAAATCCATTTAATTTTAATATTTGGCCACATGCAAAGTCAGAAACTTTTATTTTGAAATCGCGATATACAATAAAGCGCATATTTAGAAATATGTTGATGTATTCTCCTGTGTTGGCATAGGTTTAAATGATTTACATTACAAATCAAGTATGTTTTCCCAGATGAATGTTAAGCTACCCAAACTCACCGCATATGCAGAGGAAGAGTTTAGCCCCTTTTTTTTATTCAATTTTGTATTTTCCTGATATTTCTGTTGGAACACACATTATGATAATGTTAGCTTATTATGTTAGCTTCAGATGTGGAGAAAGCTGCATTTTAATAAACTACAGCTGGAAAAATATAATTTAACTGAAAGACATATTTTCCATGTAGAACAATGTGCACAGGAATTGTGAATGTTCTGACCTGTGGTAAACTGGCCCTTCATCTTCTGGAACACAGGATCTTGAGCGGTGGCTTGAGCTCGCCGGGCCAGGGACTCTGAGGCAGCGCTTGAGAACATAGTGGACACATTAGAGACATTCTCCAGGCCCACGCCGAACGTGCTGACCAGCTTTTTTACAAAGTTGAGCGTATGTGGAGTGATTTTAGCATCAGACACAGCTCCGCTCTTTTCGAATGCCACCGAGTAGCATTTTGCCAGCCCTTGCTGGAGCTGCCGCAGGACCTGTGGAAGGAAATGAGGGGAAAAATGAGAAACCAAGAGACGAGGATGAATGGTTAACGAGTCTTTATCAATTTACCATGAAGGATAACACCATTCCCACATATTCAATCCAATTTGCCATTTTGATAATACTCAAAATACTTCAGAGGCGAAGATGTTCTCGAGAGAGATCTGTAAAAGCCCGCATCTACCGGTCTCTGCTGCAGAGATTAAGCTTAGACTTCAAGAGAAGAAGATCGCCATTAACAGACTAATTTAGACTTGGACTACACTTCATCAATGTCTGGAAAATTAAACCCACGTTTTACTTCACTGAGCTCTCTCAATGCCAATTTCTTTCATCCTCCAGTTCTCCTTGCTAAACTTTCTTTCCTGGCCCTTTCCCGTCCCGAGTGTCCCACAGGAACGGGGCTCTTGCGTCCCTGTCCAGTCTCGATGCATCACCGCATCAGCCCTGTCACGGCAATCCAATCTCCCCATGTTCGGTCTACACTCCCCTCACCCATCAATCACGGCGAGCCCCTCGCCAAAGCCCGATTAGCACTGGAGCACCAATGTCCACCTGCACTGCAAAACCACTTTTCAGCCTCACTGAGCCCCAATCGTTCCCCTCTGTCAGCTTTCATCTGCTCAGCCGGCCCTCTGAAAACAGCTACGTGTACGAGAGCATGCGGCGTTAGACTAAAGAGCGTAAGCAAACCGGACAGAAAACGCATTCATGTCATGTTTAACTTGCGCTAAGGGTTGATGTGCTTTAAGAGGTAACCACTCGCTTCTGGAATACAAAAACACTCGCTTTAACACATGAAACCGCTCACCTCCTCGTGCCAGTTCTCTCTGAACCAGACCATCTGGTCCACGATGCCCTCCAGAGAGGAGAGCAGGGTGGGGTGGAGCTCACGCTGCATGTGCATGATCCGGCTGCAGCGCCACATGGGAGCAGTGGCACGGATGGGACCCGGGTCGGACGCTGAGTGGGTCTGGGCAGCTGCCGAACTGGGCTGCTGCTGGCCAGAATCTGGGGGAAACAGAAATGACAGCACATGAAGGAAAATGTTGACTCTTGTTGGACTTTGTGTGGAAAAAAACTCCAGTCATACCGCTCTTGTAGCGCTCCCTCTGCTCGATTTTCAGCGTCAGGTACAGGGTTCGGATCGGAAAGTACACCGCTTGAGGGTAGACACGTCCCACCTAAGAGAAACAGTCGCAGATTACATTTCAGATCGTCCCTGTGGGTTTGGGGTCAGAGCGAGAGAGAGAAACGTAGTGCTGACATGTTTTGAAACTTCTCTGTGATAGTGCAGGCTTTTGAAAATGAAACCGTAGGGGGAAAGCAATGAGATGGACAAACATCAAGGGCAGATTAAAACCATGGCTCAATATGACACTCGCTAAAAGCTTGACAAGCCCTAGTGTACACTTTCTCCCTTTCAGAGAAGTGCTGTGTCCTTGAACAGCATCACAAAGAGAAGGTTCAGGCTGTTTAATGATTTAGCCCATAAACTCGTTGGCACTATAGACAAATGCCTTTTTTAATTAAAGGGGTCATATGATGCGATTTCAATTTTTCCTTTCTCTTTGGAGTGTTACAAGCTCTTGGTGCATAAAGAAGATCTGTAAAGTTGCAAAGACTAAAGTCTCAAATCCAAAGAGATATTCTTTATAAAAGTTAAGAGTCAGCCACGCCTACCTAAAATGGCTCGTTCTAACACGCCCCCACATACCTACGTCACTATGTGGGAAGATTTGCATAACGTTGTTATGTTATGTTATGAACAAATGTTCACGCAAAGAAAGAAGGCGTAACTTTTATTCTCGCTGTAATATTGAAAAGTGAAAAGTGAAAAGTTTTGTAAAAATCGACGCGTTTCAAAAAGGCGGGGCATAGAGGAGAAACAATAATGTACAGTATGTGGAAAATAATGTGTTTTTTTAACCTTAAACCGCATAAACACATTTCATTACACCAAATACACAAAATAATGTTCTTTTTAGCAGCATCATATGACCCCTTTAACAGTATGGTAAGGTTGTATGATTACAAGTAACAGCACAGTAACAGTATATTGATATATGACACATTTTTGCCAGAATACAAAACCCAAAATGTTTTGTGTTACATAACCATGCAGCAAATGGCTATTTTTGATAATGCAGTAAATTAATTACTTAAAATAATTAATTTCATTTGTATGCCAATTGGAATCAAGTGAGGGAACCTAATAAATTGCAAATTCTGTAAATTTTAACTGTAAATATACATAACATTTTTATACATTATTTCATATTCATATATTAAAATTTAGGGATGTAATGGTATTATCATGGTCACATGGCGGTATGAAACGATAGGTCTTCTGGGCAAAAAGTGTAGTTTTTAAAGTTTTTAAAGGTCTTTAAAGTTGTGTTTTGGGCCATTGTGCTTTGACACAGTAGCCTATCTGTTAGGGATGTAACGGTATGAAAATTTCATATCACGATTATAGTGACCAAAGTTATCACGATCATCAATATTATCACGGTTTTGTTAAAATTAGATGAAAATGTTCAAAAAGAACTGATACACACACTGAAAACATTTCAATAAGTTTTATATTTGAAAATCAACAAACAACAAATACAATTAGCAGCTATATGCACTTTTTTTAGCAACAACCACATTGCATGCTGCTTCTGCGTCAGACTGATGCTGGCTGGACAGGATTTACCGCGAGTTTTCAAAAGCGCGATAATCAAACACGGTTTTGATGATAATTAAATTTTAAACGGTAATACTAACCGTCAGTGCATTTTATCGTGATTTATCGTGAAACCGGTAATCGTTCCATCCCTACTATCTGTCAAATGAAATAAAACCGAAAGCACAATATGGCTTAATCCATTCATCAAGTATGTTTTTGTTTGCGCGTTTCAAAGTGAAGCACGCACTTCGTTCAGACGATCAGCTCATGATCCGGAGTTTTCTGTGCCTCAGAAGGGCTCAGTTCACAGTGAATGCTGTGAACTCATTTATTGTATGTGCTGTGAGTTTAGCGCACGTTTGGGAACGCAACGCCCACCAGTTATGCTTTATTTTCACGGCAGATGATTGCAGCATTTCACTAGATTTGTAGTGAGACGCGTTTTTGTAAGCCTGTTTTCACTGAAGCTGGAGTTTTTCTTCAAAATGAAAGCTCTACTGTGGTTTCCGTCAAAACAAAATCTTAAAAGTGCTGTATGAATTGCTGACAGCTAGCGGTTTAAATGAGTAACGTTGCTGCGGTCCAAATTCTAAATATTTCTTTCAAGTGTAAAAATAAGGAAAGAAGTATTGTAATTTCCCTAATGTAGTGCAAAGCAAAAATAATACACCTATAAAATAATAATTTTCATTTATTTTACAGTGTAATTGTTTTACAATAATATGGCTATGACTGCCATAGGAATAACAATAATATAAAATTGTTGTTATTACTATTATATTCTAATTTGTTTGGCTTCCTAAAACACCAGTGTGAATGTAATTTAGATGGAGACAGTACACCACAATTAAAAAGAGGGTTGAGTCCCCTTTAAAATTCAGGTACAAGTCAATTCGTTTTTTCTGACTTAAAGGGGTCATATGATGCTTAAGTTTTCTTAGTTAAGAATATGGGTTGGAGCTGTTCATTTTGAAAATCTCAAAATGCATTAGACAGAAGAATTTAACTTTTAAATGTAAAAGTAAAATTCTTAATTCCCCAAAGTCTTCATTTGGCTTTTTTTTTTGTCTTTTATTTGATATCGTTACATCCCTATTAAAATTAATACATAAGGGCTGCACGATAATGGTTAAACAGTTAATCAATTATTTTACTCAAAAAATATTACGATTATTAAATCACACATTACATAAACATTGCAAACGACTAAGCGGAAGAAAACAGACTGAAGAAAAATGGAATTTCATGGAATTTCATGGAAATTACCAATCCTATATAACGCAAATGCGTTAAAAAAATTCAGGATAAATAATGGAAAAATAAATATTGCAGATGATTATGCTTAATAAATCATGAGAAGCAGAAATCATAATCACAATTAAAATATGATTAAGTGTGCAGCCCTATAATATATACATTTTATTTTTTTTTTTTGTCTTTTCTTTGATATCGTTACATCCCTATTAAAATTAATACATAAGGGCTGCACGATAATGGTTAAACAGTTAATCAATTATTTTACTCAAAAAATATTACGATTATTACATCACACATTACATAAACATTGCAAACGACTAAGCGGAAGAAAACAGACTGAAGAAAAATGGAATTTCATGGAAATTACCAATCCTATATAACGCAAATGCGTTAAAAAAATTCAGGATAAATAACAAGTGGAAAAATATTGCAGATGATTATGCTTAATAAATCATGAGAAGCAGAAATCATAATCACAATTAAAATATGATTAAGTGTGCAGCCCTATAATATATACATTTTATTTAATACTATTATTTATTTACTCATCCTCCATAGACAGTCTACACAACTACAACTTTGATGCATCAAAAAGTTCATAAAGAGATCATAAAACTAATCTATAGCAGTTCACTCCAAATTTTCTGAAGACATTTGATCGCTTAATATGAACAGGTGAGTGTGTGACATGAGGGTGAGTAAATGATGACAGAAGTTTCATTTTTGGGTGAACTATTCCTTTAACAAATGGCATGAATTTTGGGCAGTACTATGTGTTTGAACTAGCTGATAACCTGTTTAAAAACAGCACTTATTTTTGCTTTTCAATTTAATGCTGCAGATATTGCACACCGCTTATTTAAGCTGCAGTCAAAGAACCAAGTTGTGAGGCTTATTTCACATCTTTTGAAGAAAAATGCCCCCAGTCTTTATAGTTTAAATCTAACAGACAGCGAAGTCTGACTCATAACCCAATCTTTGGATCCTCTTATTGTTATGTAATAGTCCCAAAAACATGCTTATCAACTTGTTCCTCTCCTCTTTCTCCCCTGGCACTGCGATATCCGTGAGGGGTGTGAATGTTGTCCACATCAGTGTGTGGTGGGGATGAAGACAAATATGGAGGAGGCAGACAGCGCTCCTTCTCAAACCGCCCGCAGCCCCTCTCAGGTCTCACAGCACCCAGCTCAAGCAGCCCATTAGAGTGGAAACACGATCTTCGTCAAACAGACGGCAGAAAGCAGGCTGGCCTTTAGGTGTAAAGAGACACCTCGGAGTCCAGATGGGCTTTTACATGAAAAGCAGCCATGGCCAAGACCTTCTGTTAAGAGCTTGTTGAGTATCGCATTAAAAATGAACGAGGCAACGGGGGACAGATCATCCCTAAAATTGGAGAGAAGTCTCATCATATTTTAGGGTGTGTGCGCGTGCATGTGATGGGTGTCTGTGTGCATAAAGGTGTTGAGTTTTTCTCGCCTCGGTTTCATCTCAAGGCACCCCACAGCTCACCTTCATCAATATTTCACCAAACGTTTTTAAAACATCCCACCAACTGGAGCACAGCTAAATAATTCAGAGCCTGAGATAAAGGTGCTCCATCCGCTGGAGAAATCACAAGTTTTACAAAACGTCTACCTTTCACTCGTCATCGCTGCCTTAGATCAGACCCAAAAGATCCTTCAACAAGGAGACTTGTCATCCCTAAAACAGCCTTGACAACTCCATTAATTGAGATTATGGTGTGCAAACATATCTATTTCATTGGGTGCTTATCAGGGACTCAAGTGTACTTAATCTCAAAGTGAAGCATTTCCACTGCACGGGTGCGTCAGTGCTGAAATGGAGAGATTAGAAGTCGCTGGTCTAGCAAGTATACGTGAGAAAAGAGGTGGTTGAGCTGCATGCAAAACCCGTTTGGAACAAATCAGTGAATAAGAGGGGGATTTCGCCGTCTTTTTACGTGGGTTAAGTACACAGAACTCTCTCTCTGTCTCCTTTTTTCTCCCTCTCTCTTTGGGCCCCTGGAGCAGCTGTTTTCTCTTTGAAGTTCAGGAGCTTTTTAAATGGCTTGGAAATAATACTCCATCAAGGAGGGCAAATTAGTCTCTTGTTTAATTGGCGGTTCAGTTCCCACAGTTGGAGAGTGTTTGATATCAACCCAATAACAATGCTTTGCATATATAAATAAAAAGGGAACCGGTAAAACTATGAATTTGACAAAGAGGGTCTTGACTGCAGACTGTCTCTCGTAAATTAAATTAATCTCGATTAGATGGATATATCAAGCATGAATGTGCTGCTATAAAAAGGTAAAGTAGTGAGCAATCCAACCTGGCTGATGAGGTTGAGGAGAGGTTTCCCCTCTGAGCCAACCAGACACGTGAGAAGCTGAGGGATCCAGGCCAGCCATTGGATGGGCGGCACTCCAATGCAGTATTTGTCCACAGCGTCGGCCAATGTGTTCTTATCATCAAAACTCAACAGCCACAGCACCTGAAGAAGAACAGAGACAGTCTTTTCTGGCAACAGTTCTGATTTTATAAACCCTGCTGCAGGAGAAAATTTCATCTACAAATTTTCTTTGAAATAGCCAGAACTTGTGTAAAATAAAGAAATATGACATTGACATTTTATTTAAAGCAAAAATCATTTTATATTTAATGCAATGGACATTTAAAATAAAATAAAAAAAATTGTTGCCATTTTAAAATATTTATTATACACATCAGCCAAGTCTTCAAAGGGATAATTTATATATTTAAAAAACGGCCTACTTCCTGCAAATGCTGAATTTATCTTCCTTTTTCCTTGTGTTATTGTGCATAATATCTCTTCATGCACATGTACAGTTGTTCACAAATCTCTTAATTTGGAAAGTCAAGTTTTCATCAAGTCAACATTCATAAATAGTCAGTTTGGATAAAATGATCCTCAACCTATGTGAATGACCAGGTAACGTTTTCATTTGAAACTAAATCTATATGTCAGCGATTGAAGATGAGGCCATCAGCTCCATGAAATGGCTACTCCGGGGCTTATTGGCTTGTAAAATAATCTCAGCCACCTTACTCCCACCAGTCAGCTGCTGTCTTATTGTGCTATTGTTGGTGGGGCTCTGCTATGGTGACTGGTGGGATGCTAACAGATGAACCTTTATCTCTGCTGAGGCCTGATGGAGACATTAAGCACTGGACAGCCTGGGCTACACAGCTTACGGATAATTACTGATAATCAGCGAGCAGCTACTCTCATTAATCACGTGTAAACTACGCCACCGTCTCTAAAGCTTCAGTGGCCAGCAGCAGTCCAGACACAATCTAAAGTGTTCCTCGCAGTCAAACCCATGCTGGGAAAAAAGAAAAAAGCTAAATGGAGCTGTTTGATCTAGCGTACAGCACTCGACAGAGAGCAGACTGCCATGTACACAGTATCCATACAAAACCCATCATCAGGTCTAATAATATAATTACATCCATCATTGGAGGTTCATCAGTCTGAACGCAGTGCGTCCCCCCTGCCGCAGCTGCATTAATTCAGAAATGGCACACGGTGACAGATATGCCCCCATTTAACAAAGCCATCAGAGCAGAATGGGTTTACTGGACCACAAATGAGCACTGAGTTTGCCTGTGTGTTATGGTAAATGGGTTTAATGATAAAACTAATTACAGGCCTGTCAAAAAAGATGCTATCCCATTATGACATGCTCTGTACATCTCTGCCAACCATTTTTGCCTGTTATTGACAAGAAAAACACTAAGTACATGTTGCCCTCTAGATTACACAGTACAACTGATCAGTAGTTCTTGCTTCCCTACTTTCACTAATCACAACCTATGGGTAAGTATAAACTATACCATTTGGCTCATTCACTCAGTGAGGTCAGCAGGAGAGAAAAGAGAGAAGAGGTCGTACCTTAGCAAGGTATTTCCGTGACTTGCTCTCGTTCTGATGGCGGCAGGCGTGTAAGTAACAGGTAATGGCAGAGACACCAAGGTGGGGCTGGCGGTCTTTGACAAAGATGTTCTCCAAGTAGTCGCCCCACATAGCCCAGGCTTTCACCAGAACATCATGCATCTGCACTGCAGCAGAGAATGCCTTATTTGCCTCCTCTGACCTGGAAGAAGAGACAATTCAAATGAGAAGGGAATTTGTCACTTCTGACCATTACAATCTTGAAATCTCGAAAATGCAAAGAATATGAGCAATTTGGTGGATTAAGCTTGAGTCAGTAAAATTTCTGCCAGTGGTGCACTGGTAAACAGGAGGCATTTAAACTTTATCATAATTATATATCCGCTTCTTATTGGCATTTCACTTTAAATCTGGGAAGCATCTGACAGAAAAAAAACTTGATGGAAAACACTATACTAAAAGCTATCCAGTATTTCAGCACCTAACTGAAATTAGCTGACCGGGTCCAATATTTTGTTTCATCAGCCGTTTTAGAGCTTTGAGAATTTGTCCCCTGAGAGTATCTTTTCTAGGGCCCTTTATAGAAGAAGCAGTTTAAGAATAGAAGTTGAGAAAGGCTCATATAAGGGACTGAAAGCACTGGATGGGACTCATAATCTGTGCTTGAAGCCTCTGCCCTTACCATCGCCATCTCTAAATGCTACTCTATGACACACCTACTAAACCAATCACATATAATGGAAACTTTTAATGAGTATGTGGCAAGCAACAAAATTACACTTGATTGCAATGGGAGTCTGGGGAGCCCAAATCCACTGAAGCATCAAGTCAGTCGTGGACATGTATAATACGTTTCTGCTCGTGGCCTTTGCCGAGAGTCGGGTAAAGTCCCCACGCCCAGTCAAGTGTCAAACATCTTCCTCTGACAGCTCTACTGCTTTATCAAATCCCTACGTTAATATTCATAGAAAGTGAAAATGTAATGATTACATTAGGCCCTGCTGAGGCTGGGGGAAACTTCTGCTGATCACAGAGATTTCACAAATTGCTATTGAGTTAATTATTCAGCATGTGTGTATTTAATAAGCTACTGCAATCCAGCGCCAGGCTCTGGGCTTGCCATCAATTCACCCAGGCCTATATAGAGCTATGGTGTTGCAAAAAGGGGTAGTTATCTGTTTATTTTTGAATTACATGATTCTCTGTTTTGGTCTGGATATGTTAATATATTAATAAAATGCAATTCATACTGACAATCACTTGAATTCACCTCCCCTATCCTCTAAATTAAAATTCACTTTGATATCCAATTCTTTCGATCCAATTTCAAAACAAGCAGTTATGTCATATAATAATTTTGTAATAATAACCGTATAATATAATTATAATTTTTTCTCTCTCAAATAATGTATGAAAAGATTACATTTCTTAGAACTAAGTGAATGCATTTTAAACTAGATTTCACCTGTTCATTATCTTGGCAGCTCCTTATAGTCAATGACCCTTATCTGTTTGTTTAAATATCTCGTAGAAGGTTAAAACACCTGGCCTGATTGCACTACAAATTAATCTACAGTATTCTGAGATGTATACCAATTACATGACAGATTCTCACCAGGAAATGCTGACTGACTCGTGAAAATGCCAGTCAATAGAAGTTTGACAGGAGATTATCACTCATCCTTATAATGATTATAACTCATTCCTTACACATGAGTTCAGTGTCATTATCCTCTGCTGCAGTCATGCTATATAAGGTTAATTACTCATCATACTCTCATATTGACTGTTAACGACTGTTCTGACCTCATTATTGGCCTAAAGTTTTAGAAGTGATAATTAGAGGCACAAACACACAGGCACACACAGATGTTTATCTTTCCTCTCCATAATGACTCTTTGTCGAAATTGTTCATTTTAAAAAATGAGCTCTTAATGATCTCGGTTTCCGATTCTTTATTGTCAGTGCGAAGACTCGTGCACAAAATAAAAGATAACGAGAGCGGCGTCAATTAAAGACAAAGAGAGCGCGAATGAGGGCGATAAGGAGAAGACTCAAAGTGACAGGTAGAAAAGGAGAGAAGATGAACAAAGCCAGGGATCAACTCTTACTTATTGATCTGGGCTAAGAACATGCCCTTGAGAGCGTAGAACTCGGCGGTCATCTCCTTGGTGAAGTACTTCAGGTTAGTAGACTCAATCACCTCCAGACCCTGACAACACAATAACAATGATTGCATTTGAAATTCCTCAAAGTATATTTCATATTTATGAGTTTTTCATTTTCTCATGAAGAACGATTCTACATCCCTCAAAATGGATGGGCCAGACTCAGCCAATGTGTAGTTTTCTGACCTAGAATTCCTATACATCAAAAGTCAACACCACTGACAACAGAGTATATCTGCTGTAGACATCTCTGTAGCTCAATCTAAGACTCCCAGGTGAGAGCCAGTGGCTTAGAGTGTGCCAGAGAAATGATAAAGGGAACAGAACAGGTCCAAGTGATAGCTGAGAGAGAGAGAGAGACATTAAATCCAACGGTACTTTAATGACTTGAGCTCAGTTGAGGCAGCTCCATTAATCAGGCTTAAGCGAATGCTGCAGCCAGCAGCCCATTCCTTACACTGTTTGGAATGCATTCCTTACTGTGACAGCACCGCAGTCATTCTCACCGTAATGAGAGCAGCGTTATTTGGATTAAGAGAGTCCGGCTAAAAAAATCAGCAGGTGTGTCGGCAAAGCAAACTAGATTTGGTATAGATGAAGTCAGTTTGACAGAAGCAATGATAAATAATCCTATTCAGTTAGATGTAAAAACATAAATAAAAATGGTAAGAGAAAAATAAAGGTTATAAACAAATGTATTCTTGGTGTTGAAAAAATCTTTTTTTTTTTTTATTAACCACACCAACGACTAGTCATCCCCCTTTAGTTTTTTTTTTTTTTTTTTAAGTTGCATCTTTGGATGGACGTCTTTGGCTTTTGAGTACTGGCTTGTGTTCATGTTCATTCTGTTAAAGTCACCATAAAATCATATCGACAATATTTATTTTTATGGAATGTTGCAATATTTACCATATTTATTCATGCAGTTTTTTTTAATTCATGCGCACTTGGAATTATTATTAAACTGAACTTCCCTCCCCCTCACAGCATCATCTCTTCTCTGATGACATGTGCACAGACTGCACACATGTAGCAATTAGCAAGCAAAAATGATCCAATCAATTCCTGATGGTTAAAATCTAGTCCTGTCCTACATTTTTTTCTTCATATGACGATGAATTTCAACCATGAAAACCCTCTATCCAGATGCATTAGAATACAGAATGCTCTAAGAGATGCATCAGATCTGGGTCTGACCCGAAAGCAGTAATTACACAGGTTATCCTTAAGAAAGATTAGATGACAAGTCATTCAAGAAACCTAATGACTAATTGATCATGCTATAGTTCACTCACCTGCATGCATTCATTCTTGCCCATTACTCCAGCCAACTGCAGGTAGCATTTAACCTGCTGACGGATCTTCTGGAAGCAGTCAACAATAGGCACGGTGGGGATGGTATGGATGCGACTCAGGATGTCCAAAGCTACGTTGACCAGACCTTGCTTCCGGGCGATCTTTCCATACTGAATAATGGCTGATGCGGAGGCGTGCACTCCAAGCATGGCATTGTTAGTGTTTGGATCATGTTGTGTGTTGGTTTCATAAGCGGTCACAATGGCTACAAGAAAAAAAAAAAGAAATTTGATCAAAAGTGCTAAAATAATCATTATTTTGTCACTGGAATTTATCTCCATATCCTGGCATACCCTGATAGTGGTGCTGCCGCCACATAAAGATGCTGCTCCAATGGGAGAGGTCATCGGAGACAATCGGTAGCCTGTTTCTCCAGGTCTTCACCACGGTCTTCATGTCGTGGAGGCTAGTGTTGCGGCCCAGGTTGGCGGGCTGGAGGCCTGCATTAATCTGAGCAGCTTCTTGTAGCTCAATAATCTGTTGTGCTGCCTGAATAAGAATAATCCAGGAATAAACAGATGAGAATCTCAAAGTAGTTAACATCCAGTTAACATCCAACAGGAAGATGCAACACCCACAAGCTCTCTTTAAAGCGCCTGCTCAGTTTAATTCTGAGGGCTACAGTCATCCAAGAATCCACATATCACACACACAGAGCTCTCCAAGATCCATTACTGAGACTGTATTACAGGCTTATGATTCCTATTGAGAAAGAAAAAGAAATAGAGAAACAAAGTCTCGAGGTGGCTGAACGAATGGATGGATCAAAGTATCTTAAAAGCCATTCACTCAGAGAACGGGCAGAGAGAGGGAAGCGCACAAGTGAAGCATCTATTCCCTTAATGCCTAATCATGCTCTCAGACGACACTTAGACCACACCAGCAGAGGACACCGGCCACGGTGACCCAAAAAAAACGCTAACCATTCCTCACAAACTACCGATGCATGACCTTAACATATCAGCCAGTAAACACACACCGCACTCTTACCGAAATGCCACATGGATCTTTAATCTCCTGTGCGAATTGGAAAAGAAAGACGTGAGGGAGGGAGTCTGGCACTTACAAGGTGATTTACAACATGAGGGTTTACCATGAGTAGCTTGAGCCGTGATAATGAATTATGCCCGCGAACACACATACACGCATCCAAAAACAATCCGTTCAATAGTAATGCCTGCTTTACAAGATAAATGCCTCAAATCAGTCTATGGACTTGCCAAATCAAATCCCCCCAAAACAAAATAAATTAAGCAATACAATATTTCTCACAATTACCTGTTAATATCAGCTGATGGCACATTATAACCTTCATTCTGAGTGCCCATTCATCATGTAAATGTAATTTTCTTGCAGGTATTTAATCAAACACTATCTGATGGGGAGAAGTAATTACGAGCCATTTTAAACTTGGTGGCGTTCTCACTCTCTGTCTCACGGCTCCTGTCTGCCTCTCACGTCCCTTCCAATCACTCTTATTGGACTTGGTTTTTCAGTATGGTTGCATTAAGGAGTGTAGGTGTAAACAGATTCAATTATCAGCAAATTCAATTATGAAGTCAATGGCTATGGGGCAAAGACTGAATTTCTGAAGGCACGGCTAAAACAGCCAACAAAGTGTGGCCAATAATGTATTTTAAGAGGAGCTGGTTCTTCACCAACACTATTTATTAAACTTCTCTGACTGCTTAAACGAACCGACTTTGTTGTTATATATAACTTAATAAACTGAACTTGGTTTTGAATGACCAAAACATAACTGTCAGTGATGACATTACATTTGGATACTGAATTGTGATTAGTATTCTATTGTACTTTCTCCACTTTGAATCATATTTACCTTATTACAAGTGGAGAAAAAAATATAGGGAAGAAAAAAAAACAAGCGTGAAGCATATCTTAATTTCTATTTTTTAACATCTTTTGTATATTTTTGCATTGAAATGTAGAGAATTCATTTATTTATTTAATTAATAAACAAAAAAATTAAAATTTTTATATAAAATTGCTGGATATAACGCAAGATCATCTTTCAGCACACAATCAAGTTTGATTTCTGGCTATTTGTAGTAAACAAGTTTGCACACTTCTCATTTGGAGCTTAAATTTGAACACTTTTTTTGTGTTTCATACACTGATATTTCCTTCAGAAAATGATAATTATTATATAATTATTTTTCAGTGTATAATTGTGTCAGTATGTTCTGTTTGTTTCTTCATTTTAGCAAGCAGTCCACAGAAAAAAATAGTGAACCAATAAACAAACAACAATAAAAAAAAATTTATTAACAATATTAATAATTAATGTTTTAACATTTTTTATAATAAAATGCTAAGAATAAGATAAATTATGACATTTTCTATTTACTAATAGGATAAAGCATCAAAAATCCCTTGTATTCAAGATGTTCGGATTTCATCCACTACACACAACACTTCAATCATGCAGGCCACAGAACCATCAGCCATTCCCCATAACACACTGTGTGGTGTAATCACAATCTCCAACAACAACGCCTCAATTCCTCAGTTTGGCTGTCATATTTGCCATCACACCACAGCTGAGCTCAAGAGAGTCTCTAACAGTCCCCAGAGGACGTGGTGTGTGGACAGCTCTCACACATTACCCTAATCTACAGGCACACATCACCTCCGCTCCGTCCCATTGTGTGCTCTGCCTGATTATGCGTGTGGCAGTCAGGAGGCTGTTCTTTCCGCTGAATATTAATACAAGCTGCCTATTGAGCACCACAATGGTGCAGTCAACACTATCTCAGCCATTTTAGAAAGGGCTAAAGGGCCAAAAAGAAGGATGGGGGAAGAAGGGACCAGGTCTGATAAATGGAGAAGTGATATTGTGCAAAAATGCAGAGCGAAAAAGGCAATTATAAGCAAAGTGTCAGCTTTAACCACTCTCTGCAAGAAGGGTTTGTATAAAGTCACACACTTGCAAATGAAATGAGATTGCCAGAGTCTCATGCTTGTCAGCCTAGGTATCTAAACAGATGTTCTACTTTTGAGATAGCATTATTTAAAATTGACAATCAATTTAGATTAGATCACTAGTGGTGCTCTGATTGAGTTGCCCAGCTTGAAAAAGTGAAAAACCCCATCAAGAACATTAAATTAGAGCTGGAGAACGTCCGGTTATAGGGGGTCCTCACCTGCAGCAGAGGTGTGTGCACGTGAGAGACGATGTGTGGCAGTCTCCTCCATTCTCTGATGGCCAGACTGCTGGCCATCTCCACTAGTCGCTCAATGAAGTTGAGCTGCTGCTCCTCGGGGTGACAGATGGCCAGGTAACCGCGATGCATATTCACCTTCCAGGCCATCTCCTTTGGACAGCTCAGCTCCACCTGATGCACACAGAAACGCAGCTGTATCAGCATACACTACACTCACTTGATTACTTTCCTGTTTTTAAAAATGAGTATTTTATGCTCACCAAGGTTGCATTTATTTGATCAAAAACAGAAAAACTGAGAAACAATTTTATACTTTAAAACAACTGTTTGCTATTTGAATATATTTAAAAATCTAATTTATTTCTGTGATGGCAAAGCAAAACTTTCAACAACCATTACTTTAGTCTTTGGTGTCACATGATCATTACGAAATTCATTCTAATAAGCTGATATAGCACTCAAGAAACATTTCTTATTATTATTAATGTTGACAATAGTTGGACTGCTTAATATTTTTGTGGAAACTAGGGGTGTGCGATATTTACAAGAGAAATTGGTCAACCGGTAGAGATTTTGGACTATCGTCTCTATAGCGGTTACTGTTTCTAAGCGCTGTCAGAGAGGCACGTAAACGTGATGGCGGTGCTCATAGAGCGTGGGAGTACTGATCTGAGTTATTATTGCCACTTTATAGGCCTTGAAGAGTTAAATGAACACACACACACACACATACTTGTATTTGTCAATAATAATAATCAATAAATCAATAATTTGCCAGCCCGTCTTTTCAAGTATCCTCGTAAACACAGCAATTTAGGTCTTAAAGGGGTCATATGATGCTATTTTAAAGATCATTATTTTGTGTATTTGGTGTAACAGAATATGTTGACATGCTTTAATGTTCAAAAAACACATTATTTTTCAAATACTGTACATTATTGTAGGTCCTCTATGCCCCGCCTCTCTCAAAC